ATTCCCGTGAATAATACTGTCGATAAATAAGAGCTATGAACTTAGCACATGTTGTATAAACCCTGGTGACGATGTGACTTCGTGCCTATTTGACATAAATTGCTGAGGGAAAGCAATGTTGTCACCCCGATGTTTGTCTTGTTTGACATAAATTGCTGAGGAAAGCAATGTTGTCACCTTATTGGTTGTTTTATGTTAGGTTGTCTTGTTTGACATAAATTGCTGAGGAAAGCAATGTTGTCACCCCATTGGTTGTCTTATTTGACATAAATTGCCGAGGAAAGCAATGTTGTCACCTCGATGGTTGCCTTATTTGACATAGATTGCTGAGGAACCCCCGAAGCAATGTTATCACCCCTAATGAAAATCCTTAGGCTAGGTCCCTTGTGATAGTTGTTTTAGGAACGTAAAGTGAGGATAATGGGAATGGGTAATTAGGGTTATTTTTGGTTGATAAAATTAATAAAATTATTGTTGATTGATGAACTTAATAAGTTTATTATTTATTGTGGGTTGAAAACCTTATATGCTCACCAGGCTCCCAAGCCTGACCCACTCAGCTTTTTATATTACAGGTAGTGGACCCCGAGCATAGTCGGATGATGATGAGTGATTTTTGGATTATAGGCCAGTAGTGGTAAATAACTGTTGTAAGGCTTATAATGTCTTGTTTATGCTTTTGATCTGTATCGGAACATGACATCCCGAGGTTTTGATATAAAATGAAAATATATATTTCTTAAAGAAAGGTTTTGATAAACTTTTATCATGTTTTGTTTTGGGGACCAATTCCGCAACATCTTTTAAAAGGATTTCTCTGATTTTATTTTAAAAGCATAAATTAAATCGGTCTTTTCTGGCTGAGAAATTAGGGGATGTCACAACACCCTTTTCTCCTTTTCAAAATTCTTTTCTCTTTTCAAAATTCTTTTCTTTTTCTCGGAGTTCTTTTTATAAAATGATTTTCTTTTGAAAATTTCCATACCAATTCCTTAGTTTAAGTTCAGACACACCCAAGAGTGTGCCCGAATCCCTCAAACCAAGGCTCTGATACCAACTTGAAACATCCTAAAAATACGGTCCAAAAATTTCGTTTTAAAATCAGTATTTAAACCATAAATCATCCATCGTCATAATAAAACAAGAACCATGTATCTCAAAAACATCATGTCAAATACTATATCAAATCATATAAGTAATCATCAGAGTCTAAAACAAATCCCAGGCTGGAACTGTGGTGTGTGCCATGCAATCATCCTGAGCCCTCCCTTTGCTAGTGGAAGTACCTGAAACCAAAACTGAAACCGTAAGCACAAAGTTTAGTAAGTATCCCCAATCTACCACATACTATACATATAATCACATACTGGGCCTAGCCCACTGCATCGGGCCCCGCCCGACATCGGACCGAGGTCCGGCATACTTGGGTCTAGCCCCTACATCGGGCCCTGTCCGGCATCAGACCGAAGTCCGGTATACATATCATGAGCATAACATAATCATATATATATATATATATATATAAATGTAAGTGTAACAAGAAAGATAACATTCCTCGGGCTTGCCCCGGCATCGGACCAAGTCCGAAACTCCTAATCACACACATGCAAGAATCACAAAGACATCAAGCATACTAACTGCACCGGGCCCCGCCCGGCATCAGACCGAAGTCTGGAACACAAAACCTACATCGGGCTAACCCCGACACATACAATCACACATAAACGGGCCGGCCTTGGTGCCTTGGACCCGTTCCTATAGGAGAGAATTCACCTCTCAAACTGAATGCTGAACTCGAGTGAGGAATCCCATTATGCTGCTCCGACAACTCTTCGGCTATAATTCCATAATAATACTTCATCAAAAACTGATAACTCTTCATAGGGTAAAATGACCATTTTACCCCTGGTCAAGGTCAACGCTCTGGTCAAAGTCAACATTTTGGGTTGACCAACTCGTCGAGTCAACCTCTCAACTCGCCGAGTTCTGTAACTCAGAAATTCTAAAAACGCGATTCAACTCGCCGAGTCGTTCCACCGACTCATCGAGTTCTATCGGGCTGCTTAGTCGCGACTTGTCTCATCCACTCGTCGAGTCCTTCAATAGACTCGTCAAGTTCTACTAACTGTAATCGGGACAACACGATACGACTCGTCGAGTTCCCTTATGGACTCGACGAGCCCTTCTGTCTGTTTGGCCATCTTAACAGATTAAGCCCCTATCTCCTAGATCCAAGGCTCTTAGCTCGTTTGTCCACTGGAAAGGCCCTCATAAGGGCAACGTTTCCAACTTTACCCATTCATAGATCTTCTAAAAGGGTTTAGACAAAAGCCAAATTCCTATAAAACATGAATTTTTTTCGAAAGGCCATATGATCTCAAATCCACGCGTACAAACCCAGATCTAAGGTTTTAGCTTCTGTTGGACACATAAAGCTCCAAACTTTCCTTCCATGCATGGTCTTTTAGGGCTAAAAAGACCATAAACTTGCTTATATGCTTGCATGGGGCTTCCATGGTCATGAAGTTTTCACCTTTATGCCATGGAACCCTTTCTAGATCCTAGATCTGAGATATAAGTCACTTGGGACGTCTCAACCCTAAGGACCAAGGTTCTTGACCCAAAACTTTCATAATATGGAGATAACTAGATCTAAGAGAAGAATGATCAAGTTGGAAGCTTGATTACCAGAAAATGCAGTAGATGAAGTGTAGCTCCTGGATCTACTTCTTCCCATTTGAGCCTTCTATCTTCTTCTTCTCCCACAAGCTTCACAATGCACAAAAACACTCAAAAATAGCAAGAACTAGCTCAAGATCACTTATGGCGGATTAGGGTTTCAATAATAGGGTTTGGAGGTGATGGAGGCTGGCGTGGAGGCCAGATATGATGCTTAAATAGGGTGCAAACCCTGAAAATTAGAGTTTCCTCCTGATGAACCTACTCGCCGAGTCCAGACTCGGACTCGTCGAGTAGACCATTTAAGTCCCGCGACCAAGCTGGCACCTACTCGACGAGTTAGGACTACCAACTCGTCGAGTAGCTCTTACAAAATGAATATTTTAATAAATTAAATGCGTACCAGGAACGGGGCGTTACAAACGATTTTCATATCTATGTGATCGTTTTTTGAGTCTACTACAACTTTTGTTAAGATTACTCCCGTTAAAATGTAATATATTTTTACGTATGATTTAAAAAAAACATCCATATATGCATTCATAAAAAGCTTATGGGTATAAAGATCATTAGTAAAAATATATTACTTTTTAACAGAAGTAATATAAACAAAAGTTGTAGTAGACTAAAATACGAACACATGTGTATAATGATTGTTAAAATCTGAGATCGTATGAAGAAGTTATGACGTTCAGACACATAACCTAAACAACCAAGTAGTCGAGATCACGATGGACATAAACATCAAAAGCCTCATACACCTCATTAATGATTGTCCCACGTAAGATTGTCGTGAAAAAAAACCTTAAGAAATCATTCATAAGTACTGAATTAGTACAAAAACAAAAGAATAAATTACACGAATGGTCCCTATGGTTTGGAGTAATTTGCACACTTGGTCCCTAATTTATTTTTTAACTCGGAAGGTCCCTACTATTTGTTTTTGTTACGCGCTTGGTCCTTACTGTGTGTTTTTGTTACGCGCTTGGTCCCTGTCTTACCTAAAAAAAACTTTTAATTAAATAGAGAAAAATGGTGGGGTAGGTAAGATAAGGTGAAGGGGTGGGTTTGGGGTGTGTTTATTTAAATAAATTAGAAAATCAAGGGCAAAATAGTCTTTTTGGAAATGGCAGGGACCAAGCGCGTAACAAAAACAAATAGAAGGGACCTTCCGAGTTCAAAAAATAAGTTAGGGACCAAACACGTAAATTATCCTAAACCATAGGGACCATTCATGTACAAAATATGTATAAAAATATTAAGGACTAAATATGTACAAAAATATTAAAGACTAAATGTGCACAAAGTGAGAAATATATCATCTTATTAAGTCATTTTTACCGGATAACCTGGAGTATCCGGTCATAAGGATTGAATGTGTACAGTTTAACAAGTTGAAGGAGTAAATGTGGACGAAAAAAAAACTCACTGATCAAATGTGTTTAAATAAAAAATTATATTATCCTTTTAAGTCATTATCCCTTTTAAGTTGAGAACTGATTCGTACACAACAATTTTTCTCCATACACAATAACATGTGCTTTAAAATGTTGTATTGTACAACTTTACAAAACATAAATTATTGTGTACGGAGATAAATTGTTGTGTACGAATCACTACCCTTTTAAGTTTCTATAACCTCATAATTACTCTTATAAAATAACTATATATCTTTATTTGTTTTCGATGTGAGATACGTTTTGATGAACATTAACAATTTGTTTTACAAATTTAAATATAAACTTTCCACCATTTTATTATTTATTTATTTATTATTTTGTCCAAGACTATAAGACAGCTTCATTTTTTTAAAGATAGATCATAAAATTTTTCCTTTATTTATGTTAAATAAATATAAAGGTTAGATGGGTCCTAAAATACACCTTGATATCTATGTTAGCACTCTACCTACATGACACATGACATGATCTAGCATGTATAGTTAACATCATTAATTTTACAAGTTCATGATAAAACATTCAATTTCAAAATATAAAAATAAAGTTTTTATTAGACTACGAACTGTATTTGTGACATTACATAACTTATAAGACATCTTATTTTTCAATATTTTTAGATTTTCATGTTTATAAAACAAAAAATAGTTAAAAGAAACTATTTACGTTATTGTTTCAATAAACTAATGAAAATTCTTTTAACAACTAAATTATCAACTAACAGAGAATTAATTACTAACATTTAGTTTTTAGCTAGCATAACATGTAAATTAAGTATAAGTTGGGGGACGATATATGTCGTTAACTCTAAAAACATTTGAGATATTTTTAAGTATCTGTTGTCGACATGTTACTGTGGGGTAGCGACGCATGTAACCATAGCCCTACATCGATTCACAAAGCAAGCCACATCATTTCTTCCCGTTTCTCTCTCCTTCATCGTCGTTCACAGCGAAGCCACCCAAAATACACACACTGATTACACCAGAACACACACACAACCATCACATGTATCACTGAGAATCATCTCACCTTCTACTTCAATCCAATGGGCATGGCTCTCCCTAACATTGGCTCTCTCTCCACCCCCACCGCTGCCGTTGCTCCGCCATCAACAAACTCCTCTTCCTCATCCGTCGATGACGCTTCCAAGAAGATCAGAAAACCCTACACGATTACCAAGTCCAGAGAGAGTTGGACGGAACCTGAGCACGATAAATTCCTTGAAGCTCTTCAACTGTGAGTTTCCCTTGATCTTCAATTAACCTGATTAAGCGAGTTTCTGAATTGTCTTCTGATACGACGCTAGGGTTTACGATTTCACTTTCCATTACGCGTGAAGTTTAAGAGTATATTTTGTACTGCAATCGTAAAACTAAGGGCTTTAGGTTGCTTTACGGTTAGTCGGACTCTGTGTTGTTCCTTCTTCTTCATCCTTTTGCAATGTGAACTCTAATTTACAGTAATTTACGTTTGGTACCGTAGTTGTTTGTTAGGGTTTCATTTCTGGGGCTGAGTTACTGGTGATCATGGGTAGAACGTACTAGTCTTTCAATTCCGAGTGCAAAATAACTTTATGATTGTGCAGATCCTAAAGATGTTAGGCTTATCAAGTCATACCAGTTGCCTAATTCTTTTTGTGCTTCATTCATTTACAGCTTTGATCGTGATTGGAAGAAAATTGAAGCTTTCATAGGTTCAAAGACTGTCATCCAGGTGCACTTACTTTTCCCATTATGAATTCACATCCAATATTCCAATACAATATCTTATATAACAGAAAATTTATATAAATGTGAATGAATTAATTGCAGATTCGTAGTCATGCACAAAAATACTTTCTCAAGGTTCAAAAAAGTGGTACAAATGAACATCTCCCTCCTCCTCGTCCAAAAAGAAAAGCTGCTCATCCATATCCACAAAAAGCTGCAAAAAACCGTTAGTAAATCACAAAATTTGTATCTAATCACATAATTTAACATTAAAACTGATCATATTCTCTACAATGAACAGCTCCAGTGCTCTCAAATGTCACATCATCATTTCAATCTTCTGAATTTTTACAAACAAATCCTTCTACACTGGTAAAGAACACCACCATGGAAACTGCTAGTTTGTCCCATATAGCAAAAGGTAAAGATTTTCTTTTTCTTTTTCTTTCTTTCTGGTTGCTTATATATATATATATATGAATATTACTATTTATTAATTAATAATTTCGTTTACAGATGATATAGTATCTGGAGGCCAAGGGCAACCAATGGCTGCTAGTGTTAACTATTCCAGTAGCAATGAAAGTGCTCCAAAAACACGAACAACAAGTGAAACCCATGAACAAAGGATTCATGGACTTCCATCAAGAGGTAAATTAACTTATTTACTTCAGTCTTCTAATCAGTAAATACTTTTCTGAATGCTTTTTAATCCAAAATTTTGTAATGGGTGCAGTTTTACCCGACTTTGCTCAAGTATACGGGTTCATTGGCAGTGTGTTTGATCCAAATACAGCTGGACACTTACATAGGCTCAAAAAGATGGACCCCATTGATGTTGAAACAGTGTTGCTGCTAATGAGAAATCTCTCTATCAACTTGACAAGTCCTGATTTTGAGGACCATGTAAGCTCTCTTCAAATCCTTATTATTATGATTTATATTAAATAGGAAGTTAAAGAGAAGAGTGTTTGTGTTGTGTGTATGTAGAGGAAACTGTTGTCAAGTTATGAAGTTGATTCAGACAAAGAAAATTCAGATGATGCAGTGGAGGCGCTTCTTGATTGTGGGTATGGAATATATAATGTGAAATTGTGAATACAATGTTTTTTTATTTAATAGTTTATTGATGATAAAATATTACATATTAAAAAATGACAGGACATAGATAAAGGATGTGTGGGCCCGAGTGGGTATGTGGTTTGACAAGTAAGCAAGCATCCATGAAAGTGCAGCTTGTATTGTGCAAGCTCCTACTACTGTGTACATATGATATGATATGATATGATATTCAACAACTGATTTGGGGAGGGGGTGAAGAAGAAGATGATGATGATAGATGAATTGTTGCGGGAAATGTATAATGTTGTGAAGCTTGAAATTTCGAGTTTTGACACACACAAACACACATTGATAAGAATTTAGTATATATTGATATGTGGTATTTATATATTTGTTTTATTGGTGTGAAGTAAGTGTTTGGTTTTGGTTTGTATTCTACCTAACAAGTAACCAGATAGAACATGTTATGTAACAAAGCAATTGTATTATTGCTTGGATAATTATCTTAAAATGTTGAATATTTTTTATCTGATATATGATATTGTAGTGTGGTTAAAGATGGAAAAGGGTTGTGTATTGTTTTTGTTGTAATGTGTAAGTTGCTATTTGTAAAATTTCGATATCCTGTTTTCAAGCTTTTTAATCCTCAAAATTAGCACCTTGCCCCTCCAAACTTGATATAAATAAGTGTTGGTTTGTTTAGTCTCGGTACACTGCTAAAAACGCTATTTATTTTCTGACTTTTTCCTCAATTTCCAATATGAAATGACATCCTCACAAGTTTCCAAAAAACAAGTATATGGATGACGCAAGTTCTTTTACATACCTGGAAAACATGTTTAATGATTGAAAATATTTTACGACAAAAAACATGTTTAAAAACTTTTCATCATTTGTTAGTGGAACAAGGTTGAGCACTTTCAATCCTTCATTAGGATTTGGGATGTATTCAAATATTTATGCAATATATTGTTTTTAAAGTGGTGCTTGGTATGTGGGACTAGATTGGACATAATTGAATTGGATTGAATAAAATCGAACAAACTTTTTTTTATAACGTTTGGTAAACATAGAACAGAACAAAACAAAAAAAAATGTCAAAATTACTAGATTGTCCTTTATATCAATTAATAAAATACAACCAATCTAACTTAATAATTAAGAACACAAACAACAAATGGTTATCCAACGAATATGAGATTCAATTACTAAGAATATTCAATACTACGATCAAATTTAATCCAATAATGAAAAATCTCAATACCCACCGGTAATCTCATTGGGCACCGAATCATAGTAATTAAGTCATTATATTGTCGAACGTAGCTTTGTTGGTGAAAAGCAATATGACATCTTTATTCCCAATCCATGTATGTAGGAATTTGTGTCCGTAGCATGTGATATTTTTAAATATTATAATGATGTGCTTCAGCACGTACAGGTACTCTAGAACTTGATGAATCACCATCACAGATACGTAATCATTTTAATTCTTTGAATTGTGCATTTTCTAATAAACACATTCATTTGTTTAATTATAAGGCTGGAGAGAGTGGTAACACCCTTAGCACTTCGCCACATAATATTTTTTTGAAACCACATAGGATTGTTTGAAGCCACATAAGCTAAAGGAAATGACAGCACTTAAGTTGTAAAAATGTAAGGAGTGAGGGTTTGTTATTTTAATAAGGTTTAATTTACAAAAAAAATTAAAAAAAAAAGCTACAGCCAATAAGAAATCAGCTATGCACTTTATCTTTTCTCTCTCCCATTGCTAGTTGCTTGGCGAGCTATTCCTGGCAAGTCTTGTAACACAAAGCTAGGAGTGGTGCAGGGACTTTATAGCGAGGCGGGTAGCGAGTGGTTTAGCGAACAACTCCTCCAAGCCTAATAAACAAACGGAAGAGGAGATGTCAGACTTGTCAGTGAAGAACTTGAAGAACTGTAGATGAAAGGGGGAGGGTGGGACTAGTACGTGGTAGAGGTTAAGGCTATGAGATGTGGTCACTACATCTTCGTTAGAAAAGTGATGTTGCCTATGCCCCACATCACCTCCACTACATATTCAATAGCCATAGGAAATAGTTATCACTCAATTTTGTTTTTCATTTTTTTTATATTTAGATTAAATAAAAAACATAATTAATAAACATAAATAAATATTTCACATTACATAAAAACAAATTACATCACTAAAATTACTAAAAAACATAAAGATAAAAAATTTCAAACCTAAATTATTAAAAAAAAAACATAAAACCATAGAAAGTTAAACCTAAAAATGACTTAAAAACCATAGAAAATTAAACATAATAATTAAAACGTTAAAAACCTAATTTCCATACTTGTCACGAACTTGTTTTTGGATTTTCATAAACGCGGCTAAATTTCCGGGTCGATATTCAGTTGCGGTGTTGTGTTTAAAATTTGAAGATCGGTAAGTGCTAGTATTCTGGTGACGAGATTCCTCTGTTGAGTCATATATATATATATATATATATATATATATATATATATATATATATATATATATATATATATATATATATATATTGCAAAATACTTAGAGTTTTGTCAAAATTTTCCGCAAATACGTCTTCACTACTCGCTTTTCCGCTTGAAGATGCCGCTTTTTTCCCTTTGTCCCTTCCCGGTGGTCGACGAAGTTGGACTTCCGGTGGACCATCTCTTTCGGTGTCGTCGAAATCTTCGTTGAGGTCGACACCAAAACCCACATCCAACTCGGAAGTTCTTGGCCTTTTGTTAGAGCCGGTGGTCGATTTCGAATGCGAAAGTCTTCGGTTTAAGGACCCATTTTGGACCCTTACGACAATTTTCTCACGCTTTTTGGTGGCTGAATGCTTTACCGCCGTTGGTGACCTTGTATTGTTGGCAAACGGTTGATAGAATATTGAAATCGTTGCTACCACTTTTATGCATATTTTTCAGATTTTCAAATATGTCGTTAAACTTGGTACAAGCCGCTCGTAGTTCATGCCATTTTCCATTCACCGCGTCGTACGTTCGACCTATTTGCCTTCCCAAAAGCGAGTGAAAGTGATCTAAAACACGAACCCAAAAACTGTTTCTCGTTTGCACGTTGCCCGTCCTCGAGTCACACGATATAAAAATCCAATCTTTAGCCCAAGCTTCATCCTCATCTTCGTTCCAAGCCGTTCCTCTTTTTTTGTAGCTTTTCCTTTTGGTTGCCTTCTTCTAGATTGTTGAGATGGTTATGTTTGGAATTGTTGAAAAGCTTGGAAGTGGGGTTGATTGAATTGTTGTGATCTTTGTTGTTGGAAGTAGTTTGATTGATATGGAATGTTGGTGAATAGAGGTTGTTGTTGGATTGCGGATGTGAACATTTGAATGTTTTTTTTGAACTGGCAATACAAATATTATAAACCACTCATAAACTAATACATAATTCCACCTATGTCCACCACGGGACTTGAACCCTCGACCTCAGAGAGGAAAGACACAACCTGATACCGTTGAGCTAGAAGCCCTTTGGTATTGTTGATCATTTGAATGTAACCTTGATATTGATCATTTGGAGTGTTTGGGGTTGTTGGGGGTGTTTGGAGTGGTTGGGGTATTTTTGATTTTGCTTCATACTTTTGAGAAAAAAATGAGAGAATAGAAAGATATTTGAATGGTTTTGTGGTGGGGAAATGGTGTAAAAATGTTTGGTATTTATATGGTTTAGTTTAAGGTTAAAAACTTAATTTTTTTTAATGTCGAACGGGTCAAAAATTGACCGTTTGCCACAAATGAATGCCATTGGTCGTAAGAACGTGTAACTGGCCTTAATTCACACCACGATTACGGACTAGGGGGTATTCACGCGTAAACACCCCCGCCACATCACCATTTACGCGTAAAAAAGTACCTGATACCCTTCGGCCTAATTAAGGGCCTTTTAGTCATTATTCTTTTTGTCCATGTGTGTTCTACCCTGTTGGGTGGGACTAAAATTTTATCTTTTAGTCCCATGACTTGGTCATTGTCCCATCTTGTCCCATACCAATCAATGTCAAATGTTTTTCGGAAAAAAAAACTTGTTTTGTTCTGTCCAGTCCAGTCCCATTTACCAAACGATACCTAAAGAAACAACTTAATTATTGAGTATATGTTAACCTACTTGTGTCCGATCTTTAATAACAAAAACTAAACGAATACGAGTTACGAGGTGACATTTTTTTATATAAATAACCTAATGAAACAAAAAATCTAAAATTGCTTTATAAAGTTGTGTCTACCTTTTACTTGTGTCGATGCATTTTAATGTAGTATAAAAGGGTAATAACTTAAAGGGAAATCTCCAGAAAAGTCCTAAAATTTTACCCTAATTTACAAAAAAGTCCCAAACTAAATTTTGTTTACGAAAAAGCATGAATTAGCGGTAAAAATGGCGATTTGACCATTTTTTTCCGGTTTACCGGTTTTATTACTTACCTGTTTCACTAAAGTCCCATTATTTTACCCTAATTTGCGAATAAGTCCCAAAATAAAATTTACTGATGATTTGATCATTTGCTCTATGTAACATACATTTTACCGGTTTCATTGCTGACCCGGACGCCTAGTCATTAAATGAGATGATGAGATGAATATGTTTAGTTATATAATGCCATGTTTAGCATAAAAATTGATATCCTGATGTATTGTATATCTTTTTGGAACATAAAATGCATCCAACGACGACTACAATAGTTAAATAAACTAACAACAACTACGTTATTTTTTACGTTTATAAGAAATATCAAATTATCTATCTAATCTTATGTAACCCAATATATCCATCTAATCAGACATCAACTCATTTTCTGCCCTTTTTTAATGGAAACACACATTTTATTGGTTTCATTGCTGACATAGATACATAGTCATAAATGAGCCGATGAGATGAATATCAAATTTTTTAGTAAATGTGACATTATATAACCAATCGTATTCATCTTGTCAGCTAACTTAATGACTAGGTGTCTAAGTCAGCAATGAAACCGATAAAATGTATGTTACATGAAGAAAATGGCCAAATCATCAGTAAATTTTATTTTGGGACTTATTCGCAAATTAGGGTAAAATAATGGGACTTTAGTGAAACATGTAAGTAATAAAACCGGTAAACCGGAAAAAAGGGGTCAAATCGTCATTTTTACCGGTATTCATGCTTTTTCGTAAACAAATTTTAGTTTGGGGCTTTTTCGTAAATTACGGTAAAATTTTAGGACTTTTCTGGAGATTTCGCTAACTTAAAAGGGTACCAAATTTTTAATTTTGTTCGCATTTAATCATTAACTATTTTTTTTATTTTTTATTTGTCCCTGAATTATTTGAAATTGTTCATATTTTACCCTTATGGCCGGTTACAACCGGTCATAAGGGTAAAATATGAACAT